TATCTTCATTTAAAGAAAAATTTTCAAAATAAACAAATGAATTTACCAAAAAGAATCTCAAAGACTTCGTAAACAAATATTTCTCTAGCCACAAACTCTGTGTATTAATCCGGTGTCGGTAAACAAGAATAAGAAAGTTCTTTTACCATGTTGGTTGTTTTTGGAACCATTATTAAGTTGGTGATTTGTTTCTATACTTCATTGAAATCGTTTTTTTGGATTTATTATCATTATTGTATTGATAAATTAATCATTTTTATGTAGTGCATACATCTGGTCTGGTGATTAAATTATTCAGCAAGTTTTTTAAAAATACATAAATGAAATTTCTTTTTTTTTTTTTTTTTTCACAAAGAAAAAAAAGGATGATGTTTACATCAAAATAAATAAATATTTTCATGTTTGTGACGGTGTGTATAAATAAAATGGTTCAAAACCAATCATTATTATAATAATAATAATTATTCACTTATAAAAAACGTAGTTTTTTCGTATTCAAAGAACACAACTTTTTAAAATTTCTGCGTATAAATAAATTTACGGGTTATTAATAAAAAAGAGATCTCGTGCATATAGCTAAATTCATGCAGTAATGATCACAAAAACAAATAACCTGTAATTTACAAGTTGAATTTAACCTTGCTGCAGATGGACTGGCCAATCCGAACACTCGGGTTCGAACCAAACTAAAACCAGTAATTTGGGATAGAACATCGAATATTTGTTGTCTTTTTTAGTAAAGCAAAGCTATCCTTTTTTCTGAATCATAGATATCCTCTTGTGTTTTTGATTTTCTTTGTTTATTAACTTAAGGCGGCCAATTCGATTTTTTGTGAGGATATTTTTCATAAAGGCGTTTTTTAATATAGCGTGGGACGAGAATTCTAGATATATCGTAGTTGAGTATAAAAGAAGACTGATGATTCGTCACGTCGACTTTCAGTTAAAACTAAAAATTTCGAAAGATTTATATTAAAAATTATGCTTGTTTACTTGTGATTTCAGATAAGATTATTATTATATGTGTTTTTAAAGCGAAAAGTATTTTTTGTCAAAGAAATTCCGGACAAAGTTTTATTTTTTTAATTATTAATTTAATAAAAACATCAGAGAAATGTCCATGTAGCAGCTAGTGTATTTGGATCAAATCTAAATTTTTAGTGATGATTGTTCGAACCCGTCGCATCCATGCATCTGTATGCTGATTCAAAATGTAAATTTTGGTATGTTATTCAGTCAGATCTTACACTTTCACATATCTTCAAGACCGAAATCGCATATGTGCCAAATAGCAGACGGATTGAATCAACATTGTATACTAATATGGTTTATCTGTTAAAATTTCTGGTGATACATATGATGCTCGTTTCCTAAAACTGCTTCGAAACCGCAATGAATCCCATGATAGAGTTTGTAAACCTTTACGTAATCAGGTCTTGTGTTAGTCCATAAATTTGAATTATGAAACTTGACTTGAACCTAAAAAGAATTATTATTATTTTGAAAATAATTTACCCACCCTTAATATTGTCAATCTCAGTCTGCTACACTTGATATATATATATACATATATAATTTGGAAAACCATTTAAACAAAAATATTACAAATTACTATTTTTCGGCCGAGTTTTCTAAGAATACATTGCCAAGTTCAAAGAATGGATCTGCTTGTATGAGATACATTTTCTTAAACAGTTAGCTAATAAATTTTTTGTTTTAGCTAAATATAATTTTACAAGATTTACTAATTTAAATCATATCATTAAGAAATATTTTGTGAATTATCGGATTTTTGTCGTATTTCCTACCATTTATCCAAGTAGCTTTATATATGATCTTATTTCATTAGGAGGACTACAGAAAAAAAAAAAATTAAATATATATAATAAGCAAAGAAACCAAAACATAATAATGATAATTACAAAGCCACCTTCACCTAACCTAGACCATATTCAGTTAATAGCTGTGGACTACGTGATCAACGATTGGATTTAGATCTTGCTTGTCTTTCATTTAAATGTTAGTGTTTATAGAAATATCATTTTGATAATTTTTATTAGTGATAAAAAATAGATAGATAATATTGTAAAACATTAATAATAAATTATTATGTAAACAAATTGTAAACAAAGTGAATCCATTCTGGTAAATAGTAAGTAGGTAGTATTGAAATTTTCTGGACAAATTACAAGATTTTTTATAAATTCAATTAGGCAATTAATTTAAATTTAATTGTTTGAAGATTTGTGAATTTTAACAATCTGGTGATTGTTGCAGTAAATATTGGGAAGGACAAAATTCAATTTTATGTACTCTATCGAAATTTCTTTCATTGATTTGTTTTTTAGGACATTGATGCTTTACAATTCCATAATCATAATAATAATCACGATTAAATGTCCTATATACAGTATATATCGAAAACCAATAATCATAAGATAGACGATTTGGGGCATTTGCATGCTAATTCGACGTAATACTTGTGCTAAATTTCTATCAGACATCAAATATATATCTAATGCCATTGTATAGTAATAGGGTTATCTATGGTATATGACATTTTGGCAGTATTCCGAATATATACATAATTAACAAACTGGGATGATTGTATTTAACCAATAATTTGATAATAGACAAAAAATTTGCTTTCCGTTCGTTTTATATTTTAATTATGTTTTTATTACACACACACATATATATTATACACAACGAAAAAATAAATAACAAAATGAAATAATCAGAAACCATTTTTGTAATTATGTATTTTTCAATGCCGCAATCTTATTATCACCATTTATCCAAATAGCTTTATATAAATCCCTCGACGTTTTTAAATCATCCATCCATCCCGTCAAAGATCATGATTTTTAAATTGCATGCCTATATATTTAATTTAATAATTATTATCACATGATTCATACAGTTTATATATATTTACAAGTTAGATAGACGTTGTCTCATTCCATTGTTAATATTAATTAATAAAGTTTAACATTGTGAAACGTTTGGAAACTTCCAAACTTGCATTTACTCCATTTATATTATGATGGATGTTATCTCACCAAAATGAGCGAGAGGGTGCAAACAATGGACACCACCATATTGGCATTTTTACCAAAATGTGTTAAAAAACGGAAGGAAAAAAAAATGAAATCTTTGGTTATTAGCTCAAAGAAACCATTTGGTATATTTTAATATGATCGTGTAACCATTTTTAATTGAACGCTTCTGAATGAATAGCAACTAATACGAAAACAGATAATTAAACGATCAGAATGAGAAAGAAAAGAAGATATATAAACGAAAGTTAAATGCTTCTCTCAAGTATATTGAATAACTATTAAAATGAGATTAAATCGAATATCATTATTATTGGCAACTATTTTCACAATCCTTATAATCCTTCCCCGTATAAATGCACAACTCAGTAATTATTTAAAATAACTGGTAGATTTATAAATCTTATTAATTACTAATTATTATGTTTTTAATCTTAATTATCAGAAAAAAAAGTTGGAAAAGGTTCGAATATTCGCCGTAAAAATCATCGTAAGCATTTTTTATTTTATTTTTATTTTTATTTTTATAAATTGTAAATTGTAATGGTTAATTGATTGATTATTTCGTGATTTTAGCGAACTCACATCCGGTAAAATCGTCATACGACAAGAGAATTTGTAAGTCTTCTTTTTCTTTTGATCAATTGACTCATCATATTGATTGAGACCCTAATGTTGATTTTGATTTATTATAGTTGCTGCTTATTTCACGTCCAAAAAAAAATTTGCCGAACGAAGTAATGATAAATAAATATAATAAGCAAATAAATATTATATAATAATAATAACTTTTACTTTACTATTAAATTATTGAAATTTAGATCGACAAAAACGAGAAGACTTATTTGTAGCCTTATTTGACTAAATCTCGCATCTATGAATTTTGAATTTTCGTGACTTTATTTTTAGAGGAACGAAGCCTCAATTAGATCATCATGCAAATTTTTTGTCTTGATAATAATAGTAAATAGTAGATAGTATTAGTAATGGGATAAAAGTTTAATTCGGAGTTTGTTTTCCGTAAAAATAATTTGCATTGGTTGTGGTATATTTAGAAATTAGACTGGGCGATCGCGGATAGTTTCATTACAAGTCGGAGTAACTTATTGTAATAAAACATTAACTCCATATTTATTCTTAATATTAATTCCGAATTTTATTGCCTTTTTTTTTTATCATCAATCAAAAAATTTTTTTTGATGTTTTTTTTTTTTTTAAAATCATGAATCAAAATTGGGTGATGTCACAATAAGATCTGCATATAAATGAAAGCAAAAATAGTGCGATCTTCTTCTCAATAGTAATATATAGTAATTTTGCTATAATAGTCGGAACATTTTACTATCGGAAAAAAATGTTTTCCGCTCCTCTACCTCCCCTTTCCACTTTTTCCTTAGGACGAGGGATGAGAGATTGAAAATGAAAGCGCTCGCATTGCATAAGAGGGAGATAGAATTTGTTATTGTTATTTATTGTTATTGTTATTGTTATTATTAAAAAGATAATAATAAGTATTATTATAATTATTTTCGGACCAAACATTCCGAACCATACATAAAAATTGTTGATTAATAATGAATGATAAATTTTAAATGATAATTATATAAATATCGATGATTTTTTCCACTGTTGAAAATTTTTTAAAATTTTTTTATTAATCTTTTTTAAAAAAGTTAAATAAATAATAATTTTTTAAAGTCCAGATTTTTTCCTTTAAAGAATAAATAGATAATAAAAATATTTATCAAAAGAACAAGTTTCTAAATATTATAAATAAAAAATTTTTTTTTAGTAAACTCTAAAAAAAATTTTTTAACTTACATATACACATAATAATAATAATCTTCATTTTTTTATAAACATTTCCATTCTTTAATAAACAAACACATCACCCCTTCATAATCGTCTTCGTCGTTATCGTACCATCACATCATCACAAAAATGACGAACTCATTATCACATAACAATAATCGTGACGTTGATTCATCAAACTCTGCTTCTGCACCGATAACAATTCCCAATAACAATACGATTAAAAAAACTTACAGGAGGACACAACATGTCAAAGTATCAAAATCCAGTAACAACTGCAGACAAAATTTCACAAAAAGACAATGTTTAAAGTGTAAAGAATCTTCTAGTAATGTTGAAATGTTGAAAGACAAGGTATGCAAAATTCAGGAATTGGTTGATGCTATTGCAAAAACAGCTCAAAATATGGCGAATAATTATTCACAGGTATAATAAAAATTAATAATTATTATCGAGAATATATCGAATATATCGAATGATATTGTATTCGAGTAAAATTAACTAATTAAATTTTTGTAAAAAAAAAAAAGCGAGATAATCAACCACGAAAATGGAAGTTTGGAGGAATAGATCTGACAACTTCTAGTCTTGAAGAGATTCAGGACTTGGTTTTAAAAACTACAAGTATAATGTTACCTTCGTCAAGTAGCAATAACGATGCTAAAGACATTTCAAATTCATCCATCGAACCTTCATCTTCTTCCACCTCAGTGAGGAAGAAAACAATAGATTTATCATCTGCTGCTCCATCATCGTCGTCATCACAATTAATAACAAGAAAACCATTACATTCAGAACCATTTCAAAGTATAGAGGATCACCGTCATTGTAGCCCACTACCTTCGCATTTTCCTTCTAATAATGAAAGTCAAGCTTTGCGTCAAGATTCTGGATTCAGTGACTTAAGACAAAATACCGATCCAAAAGTTCATCACCACCACCACCACCATCAACAACAACAACAAAATAAACAACAACAGAATCGCAATAAATCGATGGAGACTCCATAAAACAATTTTATTAAGACAAATTTTTTTTTTTTTTGCCGTAAAATTAATTATCAAAAAAAAAAAATATATAAACTAAGCTAAAACCAAAAAAAAAATTTTATTATTTTTTCTAAGAGCATTAATAAATAAATATATATTATATGAAAAAAACCAAAAAAAAAAAAAATCATTTATTTTTATTTTTTTATCAGTTATTATTAATTTCGTTCGTTTTTTTTTTAATTAATTATTAATTTTTTGCAACAACGTTTATTACAATCAATCAAAAAATTTTAATTTGTATATTAATTTTTTTTATTTAGTAAATATTTGTTCGTGTACAAAGGAACACAGAAATGAGAGAGATCAAAGACGGTGAGAAACAGAAACGGTGGGAGAGTAAGATATTGAGCCAAGCAAATCAATTTAGCTATGCTTTCAACTTCTTATTGTTTCTTACTATATAACAATAGTTACACTAGCACTTTTTTTTTTGAATGTAGTAGTAGTAGAGCACGGAATGTTGAGTTCCGCCTTACATAATATTATTATTTTATTTGTTAAATAATGCATTGTTTTTGTCTAATTTGTGAAATATAAATCTTATCAATCTATTAAAAAATTTTTATTGTACTGGAAAAATCCGAGAATTTTTTTTTTTTCAACAATATAATTAAGAAAGAAATTGTCGAATCCTGAGCTTGTCAGTTGGCACGTGTTTACAATCCGATTCATTATGTTAGGGATCAACAATTAAATAGCGAAATCACAACATGTTTATGGTAAATACAAATAATGTCACTCTATGACTTTAATGTTAATAAGGTTCAGTGGGAATTTTCGAATCAATTCAAATTCCCCAATTTTCTTTTAATTGTAACAACAACATCCCGGGTTTAATTAACATAACTTCCACGGAATATGCACACGCGTAAGCTGGAATAGTGGTCATTATTTATCAGTTCTAGTGAAAAAATTTTTAAATAAACAACCAATCAAAATTTAAAGAAATTCGTAATAATACAAAGTTTTTCTAGGATCATTTGGTCAGCATCGAAAATACTTTTGAACCAAATAAAGAATATATATTGCTCTAGTAAATCATCTTTCCAAAAAGGAATTTATTATGGGCATAAAGAATTAGAAAAAGAAAAAAGAAAAAGAAATCTTTTAGATCTTGCAACACTCACCCACTAATAAAGGAATTGAAGAAAGTGAATTTTATTTACTATAACGAATATATCTGTAAGACTGATCTATTACAAATAATAATTAATTGCTCAAGATGTTTGTGTATTATTACAATATTATAATAAATTATATTATTTTCTTATCAAAGGCAATTAATTAATCATTTATTTCATTTTCATTTATTTATTATTTATTATTATTATTTATTATATTTATTTATTATTTCTTCCGCAAATAGAAGATGACATACATCAATTTCAAATGAATGACATCCTATTCAAAGAACAAAGATGTGCTTCATTATGTTAGCCAAGAAATGACAATATCTACTTGTAATTTTTACAAATTTGGAAATTATCTGCAGAAAAACTATCGTAACACGTAACACACATAATAATAATTACACAAAAATTTCGTCACTTTCAGAATTGTATCACATGAATTCGTGCTCTTCTTAATAGTAATTAATTAATAATAATAATAAAACGAGTTGTTACAATAGTACGAGAAGCACAAGAAACGTCTCTATTCAAACATTTTTGTAGATCCAGTATATTTGTTCACAAAGGGCCTGCTAGCGAGTTTGTATTGTGACCAAAGCAAGTTTAAGAAAAAAAAAAAAGCAAAGTAATGCATCCATCATTCACGACTCAAATTATTACAATACAAGGGTGAACACTTGAGGTAACATGCTCAATTTAGCGGCCTTCGAAGTTTCACTTGATTGGAGTGACTTAACCGGTAACAGTTACAATTACTCCGTAATCAAACTTCAATATTGTATATAATCAGAAAGACTTGCCTGTGTTGGTAGTTTTAATGTCAATATTAGTATTAGTGTTAATTGTACTCGACTGCGTCATGCATACAAATGATGATATCCAATTTAATCAGTCTCCGCTAATTCCACTGATTGAGTTTCAAAGTCTAGTACTAGTGTTTTATAAGAAATAATTTTCGCATATAATAATAATAATAATAATAGTAATAATAATGTTTTATATTTGAAAAATTGGTTTTGTTTTTTGCGAGTAATTGTGAGTAATTTTTCAAAGAAGCTTTTATATGAGAATGTTCTCTGATCTTTACGATATTTGATAATGTTGTAATAAAATTTATGCGAATTTGTTATTTGTACATTATACTCATCATTATACACATGTAAACTCGGATATAAAAAGTCGGTCATTTATTTATATTATCAACAAGTACTCCAAACAATTGATTGCTGCGTCCAACTTATCGAGTTTACATGTGTATATTAAATATATATATGTCTAATACGAAGGGATGAAACTTAAATTAGCCGATCAATAAATGAGTCCCAAAACCGCACACATACCCCACACACCACACTAATACAATGAATGAATGAATGGGATTTATTTATTTATCATTATTTCTCTTTTCTTTAAGTCTAGAATTATTAAAGACACAAATATGAGTCTGCTAGATCCTTTTATCCATGTGGCAACAACAGATATATTCAGGTTTAATTTCACTCTTTTTATTTTGTACTTTTGAATTTATGTAACAAATATTTATGATTTTGTTGTGCTGCTGTAATATAGCAAATCTGGTTCCTTACCTCAAGAAATCCAAGAATTACAAGGACAGCAAGGTTTTGATATTTGCCAGTTTGGACGTCCTCTTTGGATAGCCTACATAGTAGCAAACAAAAATGTGAAAGGAACTATATTGTTTGCCCAAAGCAAACTGCTTGGTGGAATGGACCCATCAGTACTGATCTCAAATGACAATGATATGGGGAAAAATCATGCAAAGCGGAAGATTGTCTTGTCACACTTTGGATGTACTGCTGGTCTTCACCTTTGTCCTAAAATGGAACTACCTTCCCAGTTGGCTGGCAACCATATGGCAACAATAGTGGCCATCAATGAAGATAGAACAGAGCTACTAGCTTGTTATCCATCTGAACCAATCCTTGCTGAAGCAGCCATGAAAATTTTAAGTGTAGACAATTACCGAATAAAGGCAATAGAAATTTTAAACAGTATTATTTGGGAAGGATGTATTGTGGATGCTGGTGACAGAGGTGAGCTTGGGATGAGAATTGTATTGTTGACTGCTTGGATGCATACAAAACCATTAGATTTTTATTCTCGACGGATTAATGTCTTGGATTTTCTGCAAGCCCTTTTTCCACAATCAAACATTAATACTTGCACTATGTGGGAAGATTATGAAGTAGGATTCACTCACTTTATTCCAATAACATATCAACCAAACATGGACACTATTAAAAAAGCTTGGGGGCAGTATGGAGCAATAATCCTAAAACGTTGTCAACAAGGTGGAGATCTTATGTTAATTGTCCAGAATAAAAAAACAAGCAACTTTGGATGTATTGTTGTTCAGGTTTGTGGCTAACATTTTGTAAGATATAAGTGGTATTAATTTAAATGAATAATTTGTTATAATCATAATACCAGATAAAAAACTGGGCAAGAAGACAAACCAACTTTGATGATGAAGTGGGTAGACAACTGGAAGCAACTCATGTTTTTAGTGAGGAATTAGGAAAACACATTGGTAAAGAGCTTTATTTGGGCATTTATGTCCACCTTGGTAAGTGATATAATGGTAACTTTTTTCCATTTCCTGCCTTATAAAATATGCTCATCTTTTTTTTAAAAAAAAAATAGGAGAGGCATATACAG